CAGTGGTCTATTGTTGGGGGTTCAGACAAGAGCTTCCCACCTGGAAGTACTTCCACCGGGAAGCACCCCCTTTCTTTTTTTGGACATTTTTTTTCTTGGCATCGAACAAAGTTGAAATACATAAGGAATAAATGAAGAGAGAGTGAATGGAGGGAAGGTGTTGAAAGACCTGAGGGAAGTGGAAAGGAGAAAGTCGGTTCTGAGAGCTGAGGTTTGATCTAATGCCAGCTGCCCATCAATAGCGTAGTTGTTAGGCGCTGCTGGGGCCTCTGGTTTGGGGTTTTGTGAAGTGGGGGCGGGTGGAGAGAAATGACAGCAGTTATGAGGGGCTTTTTTTAATGCAAGAACTTGCTTTCCAAAGTTGACCTTTGGTTATAGTCGTCAGAACTCACTCAGGTTTTCTCTCTTCCATATTTTGTAGTTTTCAAATTTTAGAAAATGTATCATTTATTTCAGATGAGAATATAATCCAAAAAGTTTTGACTCAAATTAGAAGAGATGGAAACCTCTTGGTTGAGATTTTGACAGGTGGTATGTAAAGTTTTAGACTCTGTACTTGCAGATATTTTTTTTTCCTTTGGAGAAAATACTCTTACTGTATTTTAGCCAATTTTTTTAAGGAGATAATAGTCATTAACTGATGGAATTAATCAGTAGGAAAATTTCTATAGTTGTTCCATATATTTCTTACTTAATTTGATAGGCTTTATTCTAGTTTTATTGTAACTGATGGTAAATAAATATCTTTAAACTTGAAGATTATTATATCCATTCACACCTAACCCACACGCCCCCCGGGGGGAGATGCCACCTGGTTGGATCTAGTAGTTAGAGGCATACACACAGATCTCTCTCAGGAACTGGAAATCTCTGGGAATGAAGGCAGTGGACTGCTCCTGGCACGGGAACCTGTAAAAGGTGGAGAAGTGGTTACACGAATTTAAACTTACGTAAAAATTCACTGAGCTGTACACCTGAATCGTGGATGTTTTAGTGCATCTGTAACTGGACTATCAATGGGTCCGGGCTGCCTGTCACCACTGGAGCCAGTTCAGCAGAGACAGGGTTGAATCATATATGAGTGTTTATTCCAATGCTGTCAGCAGCATGGGAGAGCAGTGGGTCATCCACAAAAATCTGCTCTCTACCCCACCAAAAGCCACTGCTTACATTGGGTAGAAGGACAGAGATTACATGGGGGAGTAGGCAAAGGGGGTCTTCAAAGGGCCCGTGGCTCTGCTTTCTGCAACAAGGTTGTTAATCTCTCCATGACAATAGGCAGCTCCCTGTTGGGGAGGATGAGCTGCATTTCCAGGTGAGCTCCCAGGTCCCATACAACTCCAGCCTGGTTAGAATGTGCCTTCTTTAAACAGGACAAAACCATGGTAAACAGAGCAGGATTGATATTTCTTACAATTATAGCTGGTCCCCAATATTCTATTTCTGCCCCTATCACATCTGTGCTCCTCCTCAATTAACAAAAAATTCCCTACTGGGCAGGACGATGTACAAGGCACCAGAAACGGTGCTGAGCCAGGACGGAAGGCCATGTCTCCTTTTCTGCAGCACACGGTCTAGATTTGGGTGGTTTCCTTTCTTTCCCTCCATTAGGAAAGAATCTGAATGAAATGTCAGTACAGCATCTCCTCAGTAAGAATTTGTGTGCATGAGTAAATAAAAGGGGAAACCAAAAATATTGGTTCCGTATGTGCGATTCTGTTCGTGCTGGAGCTCAACCGCAGTCTCTTGCCATTTAATTAAATCAATGGTGTTATTAATGATACTGGTCTATCCAACATAATTATCAGTGAAAGCTGACATTTTCCCAATGCGATCAGGTTGCTTAGAGAAAAGTCTGCATTTCTTTGCTCTTCTGCGGAGGATGGATTATCGCTGGGAGCCACTCCTTTGTCACGTCAGTGACATGAAACAGTGTGAATGGATATGGCCAGATGTACAATATTCCCTTTGTTTTCAGAGCAGAAAGCCATTAACAGTTATCTCAGCATTCCTGTGTTTATGACACTTGTAAATTGATGCATGGTCTTCCCCAAGCAGGAGGCGGAACAAAAGCCTCTTAATTTTCTTTATGTTTATCCTTCCCCAGTTTCACGGTGTTGGGTGATGTGTGGGCTTCCTCCCTGGCAGCCCTGACTGCGGAACTGGGGAGTCGTTTACCGGCCTGACAGTCACCAAGAGGCGTTTCATGAGGGGACAGGTCCGCCCCATTGCCATCGCGAGCAGGTCCAGTGCCGGCCATCAGTGCTCGCTTCTGCAGCTCAGGGATTGCTGAGCCCTGTGTGCGGAAGGAAAATGAAACGTAAACCATTCTAAGTGAGAGCGCTGTCCCTGACTGTTATCCTAACATAAACCCACTCCGTCATTCTTAAATCTTCGCTTTGGACGCCATGGTCATAACGTATCCCTTCCTGCGACTGTAATGAAAGTTACTGATCTGTTTCAAGCTTCCTGAGTAGAAAAGTGTTGTTTAAAATTGAGGTGCTCCGAGTTCATCCCAACATTAGAATTCAGTGTGGCCGGAACAGCACTTGATTCTCCGGTGGAGGGGTCAGTGTAGCCCCTTCCGCTCTGCGCCTAGAGCCTCCTGTAGAGACGGCTGGTGAAGGAATGAAGCAAAAAAACAAGACCTCATGGACACAGACAACAGCGTGGTGATTCTCAGAGGGAGGGGGGTGGGGGAGGGGGAAGAGAGTAGAGGGTGATCAATGGTGATGGAAGGAGACGTGATGTGGGTGGTGAACACACAGTGCAATACACGGTTGACGTTAGTGTGCCGTGTACATTCCATCCGTTGTTCTGTTATGTCTGACAAACGTGTGACCTCACTTGACCTCACCCTATGCTACGGGCAGCGATGCTTCTGTCCCGTGTGCAGATGAGCCAGAAAGGTGGGTGCCCCCGGGCCACACAGGAAGGCTGTGGATGTCACCTGCTGACTCTGGGCCGTGTTCTTACACACGTCACGCTCCTGTTCACTGGTCAGCAGGCCACAGTGCCTTTGCATGTAGAGGGAGGCCGGGCGAATGGACAGAGGCCAAGCCCGCCCCCGCACCCACTTCTTAGAGCAGAAGATGAATGTAAGTGAGTGCTTCTGTTTGAGGAACATGTGGGCAATCTGAGGCCCCTGAAACGTGGAGGATGCACGTGTGTTAGGGGCTGTTGTTCAGGAGAAACAAGGGCCGATTTTCCGTGTCGTCATGGTGGGGCACTCCTGTGCAGTATGCATTTCGGCCCGTGTTTCTGTTCCGGAAACAAGTGTGTTCTCAATCCCGATCACACTAATCTCTCCAGGGCACCAGAGTCCAGCGAGAAGGGTCCCGTTGGGCCACTAAGACATCTGTTTCCTTTGAGTTCCATGTCAGGATGATCTCTTCCTCAGGATGAGTGGGGAGAGGAGGGCGATGTAAACCACCCTGTCCAATTCATGAAAACTCATTGGTTCTTTTTCTTGACCAGGGGTGATGTCATTGGACCTGACCAATCAGACATCAGCTTGAGGTCACTGGCTCTCAAACATGTTTTAGTGTATTTTCTTGTCTTAGTTCCAACTCCATCCTGAGATTCCATGAATGCTTTCATCGGGTGTGCGGCATCAGACTCAGATTCTTGGAAGAAAGATGGATGGGAATATAATTGTGTAGCTATCTTTCTGTTTCAAAATGTACTTACTGCCCAGCTGGTGTGGCTCAATGGTTGAGTGTTGACCTATGAACCAGGAGGTCATGGTTCAATTCCTGGTTAGGGCACATGCCTGGGTTGCTGGCTTATTCCCCACTGTGGGGCATGTAGGAAGCAGGTGATCAACGATTCTCTCTCATCATTGATGTGTAGTGATGTGGGTGGTGACTATGGTTTTTTAAAAATACATTTTTATTGATTTTTGAGAGGAAGGGAGGGGGAGAGAGAGATAGAAACATTAATGGTGAGATAGAATCATTGATCGGCTGCCTCCTGCACACCCCACACTGGGCATTGAGCCCGCAACCTGGGCATGTGCGCTGACTGGGAATCGAACTGTGTCCTCCTGGTTCATAGGTCGATGCTCAACCACTGTGCCATGCCAGCTGGGCCCTTACAGTCTCATTTTAAGCCAGGAGCTCAATGTTCCTTCCTTTTTGTGGGAGAGACTTTGTTGGATCAAGACCATGTCGTTACAAAAGTCAGATCATTGCTATTGAGCAATTAGCACCCAAGGCTATTTTACTGTGGCTGTTAGAGGCACCGGGAGATTAATTGAAACCGCCTGCCCTCCCTTACGAGGCCCCTGGTTGTTTCTATGCTCCGTTTCAGGGTAGGATGATGTATTAATCTGGAAATGTGGTTTCCTAATAGCATCATGGTTTTGGAAGCCTTTCCCTTCACAAATAGGACAGCTCATTAAACAGACACATGCGATGGCCTTAAAGAAATCGGCACTGAATATTAATGGCAGAGAATATTAAATAATAGATTGCAGGTGACGAGTGATACATAGCTCTAAACAGTGAACTCGGATCACTGTTCTCGATGTGTTTCGAAGCGAGAAGGACCAGGAAACTTTGAAGGACAAGGCATCACCGTGTTTCCCTCATACTTTTCCCCTTAGAAACAGCTACACGGTTGAGTGTCCCCAAGCTTTTCCCAGTGGGTAGAACTAGTGTTTGCAGTTTGGCAGTGCTCAGCTTTTCATAATGAAAGCAGTTATTTTGTTGATCTGAATAATTATTTACGTAAAGACACATTTGAAAATATTTTTTTTATTACTAATGTAAGCCCTATCCAGGCCACCAATTTGTGTGTGTCTCTCACATCGATGTTTCTCTCTCTCTGTCTCCACCCCTCCCTTCCATTCTCTCTTAAAAATCTATGGAAAAATATCCTCAGGTGAGGATTAACAACAACAAAAAACGAAAAATATATGTAATTTCTATGATGTTGACATTTTAGGGTATATGAGCTTCCAGTCGGTGCTATTCTGTATTTTTTTTCTGCATTTCCAGGTCGACCCCATTCCCCTCCGTTTTCACCCGAAGGGCAGAGGGGACAGAGTCCCGTCCTCTGCGCGTCCTCCTCCCGGAAGAGCAATGGAGAGGCTGCCCGGCGCCGGCGGAGCCGTCTTCTCTCTACTGTCCCTCCTCTTGCATTTCGCCAGCGCCTCTGAGATCCCGCTCTCAGGTAGGGTGACGGCATCAGTACCGGCTCTCTGGGATCTCATGTGCATTTTGATTTCACATCGGACACGTCTAGATCGAGGAGGCGTTTTGACCATATCTCTGTGTATTTCCCAGCACCCTGTCAGAATTTGCCTGTGTCTTCCTTGGTGTTTGCGTGGCTTGCACTGCGCTGCCCATGACATTCCTTGCAGCCCAGGCCTTTTGCCTCCCTGCAGACTTGGCCTATGAGAACGTAAGCTAGAGATTAGGAGGTATTTTGCCGTATAAGAAAGTATCAAGTACAACCAACAGCTGCTCCTTTTATATACTCAGGTTAGTTTATTTTAGGGACAAGTATGATTTAGAAATTACTGGTACCCAACCAATCATAACAAAAAAAGGAAATGAATAAACTTTGTATTCTTTTAAAAAATGACTATATATTTAGGAATGAAAAATGAGATAGGAGAGCGTTAAGCAGCCGTTTTTATAGTGCGCGAATACACACGTCCGATGGCACCCACTGCAGATGTAGGCACCTGTCCTGTGAATGTACAGCAAGAGCCCAGTCAGTGGTTTTACGGAAGTTTACATCCTAGTATATGTTGGTCAGATGAATGCAGATCTAAAAAATCATAAATCTGTTTAATTAAGTGAGAATAATTAAAAACTCAAAAAAACAATGTGTCTGTGTAACCAGATAGTCAGTGGGTCCGACTGCCTGTCACTACTTGAGCCAGTTCAGCAGAGACAAGGTTGAATCATATATGAGTGTTGATTCCAGTCCTGCCGGCAGCGTGGAAGGGCAGGAGGTCATTCACAAAAATCTGCTCTGCCCCCCACCTCACTATAAGCCAGGTAGAAGGACAAAGATTACATGGGGAAGTAGGCAAAGGGTAGGCCAAATGGGCAGTTTACAGGTAATGGGGGATGGGGATCCTCAAAGGTCTAGTGATATGCAAGGGCTGGGGGTCTTCAAAGGGCTGGCAGCTCTGGTTTCTGCAACAGGTTGTTAATCTTTCCATGACAATAGGCAGCTCCCTGATGGGGAGGATGGGCTGCATTTCCAGGTGAGCTCCCAGGTCCCACATGCAGCTGCCAGCCAGGTTAGAATGTGCCTTCTATAATCAAAATAAAACAATCACAGTTAACAGAACAGGATTAATATTGCCTACAGTTCTAGCTGGTCCCCAACATTCTGTTTCTGCCCCTACATCTGCAAATGCAATGTATGTAGAGTATGTTAACTACAGTGTAGAGATTTGGGGACATTCTCTTGTGTGATGAGCTCATGGGACATAATGAGACCCTTGAGAAGTTACTTATATATTTTGTCCATGAAGTTCAAGGCTTATCCCCCCTGGGTTTCCGCCTGTGACTTTGAGAGTTATTAACAATGTGTGCTGGGGCTCCTTAGATTCCCCGCCTTGGGAAGGGCCTCCAGGCCGTCCGAGTTCTGGAGAATTAGTCTGGGCCTCAGAAAGTCGAATACGCAGGTGTTAGCCCTTCAAAAACCCAGATAGTCAGTCCCACTGTGACCAGAAGAGGCCGTCACTCCGGCCGAGTTAGCTAATGTGCTGGAAACCACTTTCTGAGGCTTCCTTAGGTTACGGGACATCACATGCTGTGGGCAGCCCGCACCTGAAGTCCCCCTTCCCCCCACATGAGAGTCGCTTCCCCACTCTGCTGGACAGGTTTCCCTGGCCCCCTGCCTGAGAAACCCCACTGACCCACCCCCTAGACGTACAGATTCGAGGTTCTCTATTCGAGGTGAAATCTGCCGGCTCACACACACCGTACGCCAGCCTCGCTGTAGAAATGCCAGGAAGGGCCTGAAAGAATTCGTCCTCGGGAGGTTCTTTTGCTTTGAGTAGCAGTGCCTCACTCGGAGCGAGGTTCCCCGTGATCCACGAGGGAAAGGGGCTCACTTCACACTTGCCCCAGGCCAGTCCCCGACTCACAGTCTCCCTCCTCTCTGAGAACATCCGCTTCCTCTCCATCTTCCCTCCTCGGCTCCATTGGTGGTGAAGGGTGTGAGGTTTTTGACTCCGTCCGCAATGCTCATTTTCATTCCGGTTGTCTCAGCTACTTGTGCGTTTTCGTGGCGCACGGTCCTTCGCCAACAATTGTTATAAAATATTAATGACTTGTTTTCAGAGCAAGTGAATATTACCCATTTATTTCAGGACTCTGGAGCAAATGAAACGGAGGCAGGTATTCAAATTGAATGTCAGCACGTCTGGTGTCTGTGTAATTGGCCTAATTATGGAGAAAGAATTTATAATGTAGAATATCTATTCTTATAAACACCCAGAGGTGGTGAGCTCCATTCCTGGAATAATTAGTTATGCTGAGACTTTACAACCTTAGCAAATTTAGGAGAGAATAATGCTCTCACAAACAAGTTGTTCACAAGCCATTAGCTGATATCTCAGGGACCGTGGCTATTGTGCGCCATCCCTCACCATTTATAACGGTAGTAAAAGGTGAGTAACACGAATATGCATTCAGCTCAAGACCTGCTTGGCTTAGCCAGAGCATTAACCAGAAGCAAGGTAACTGTCTGTGCAGATATGGATGTTATTAAAATACTTACCAGTACCCAGTGGATAAAGCCTGAACCTAGGCTAATGCTCCTAAGGTAGTAAAACATGATTATCAGATTCATTAGGCACAGATACAGAAAAGGAATTTTAAAATTGGAAGTGGCATGGAGTTATTGTCCTCGGCTGAGCGTCCGTCATAGATGACCCTAGTACCTCTCTGGTCCCAGGGGCACATCCGGGCAGTCTGTGATCAGACCTTTCACAGTAACACCGCTTGGCACTGTTGCTTTTTGCTGCGCAAACAGGTGCCTTATGTTACAAAAGCAACGGGGATAGTTGGTGTGACCCTGGCAGAGATCAAGGTGTTGGCAGCCAGCTGGGCCAGCAGGCAAGGTGTTCTGCACAAACATCTCCTCTCAGTAAAACAAAACAAAACAAAACAAACGTTTTGCTTAAGATTGTCGTTGTGCAGCCCGGCCAGCGTGGCTCAGTGGCCGAGCATTGACCTATGAACCAGGAGGTCACGGTTCAATTCCTGGTCAGGGCACATGCCTGGGCTGTGGGCTGGATCCCCCAGGAGGGGACGCCCAGGAGGCAGCCGGTCAATGATTCTCTCTCATCATTGATGTTTCTATCTCTCCTCTCTCTCCCTTCCTCTCTGAAATCAATAAAAAATAAATTTTAAAAAAGGTTGTCCTTGGTGAAGCACTTAAACGCTGTTGCTCTTATTAAGTGTCCTTTCCTGAGCACATTCTTCTTCATAATCTGTGGCTGAACCAGGACATCCACATAAAGTGGTTCTGCCTCTGACCAAAGCCCCAGGTGGTCCCGCTCCTTCACCGAGTCGTGGCGTGAGCACCATTTTTACTCCAAAGAACACAACAGACTGAGATTACAGGAACGGGTACGTGGCAGATGTTACTCCCAGTGGATCAATGGACCCTGTCACGTCAAGGTGGACAGCTGACAATATGTGTTTCATTGATAAAATTAGCAAACCGATAGTCTCCACTCGGAGCCTGACAGCTCCCCGACAGGGATGGCTTTTCTGGTCCGATCAGTGAGGATATTGACAAAAGTGAATTTGGAATACTGTGTAATGAAATATATCAGGATTGGCGGGTGGCTGTCACTGAGGGAACCAGTAATTTTTCCAAACGGTTATCGTGTGATGTTGCCAGGTCATGTATGATTAAGAAGAATCCACGGATCAGACATTTTACTACAACAGAGTATGAACAGTTTATGGCTACAGTTTCAGACTCCACATTGCAATGAAGAAGTTGACACTCTCCCCAGCCGATTTGGCTCAGTGGATAGAGCACCAGCCCATGGACTGAGGGGTCCGGGTTCGATCTCGGTCAAGGGGCATGTACCTCACCCAGTTACAGGCTCAATCCCGGCCCTGGTGAAGGTGTGTGTAGGAGGCAACCAATCAATGTGTCTCTCTCACATAGATGCTTCTTTGTCTGCCTCTCCCCCTCCCTTCCACTTTCTCTAAAAACCATTGGAAAAATATCCTCGGGTGAGGGTTAACAAACAAAAACATTTGTATTAAATGAAAAAAAAGAAAAAAAAAGATACTGCCACTTGGTGGGTTTGGGTGCACTCTCTAGGGGGCTATCCACAGTCATCAGATGGGCCTGGAAAATATTTTACCTGCTCACGGACAGACCTGTGTGAGGCTGGGTTTTCTTCTTATCTTTATTATTAAACATATATATATATATATATATTACTGATTTCAGAGGAGAAGGAAGGAGGAAGGGAGAGAAGAGAGAGAGAGAGAGAGAAACATCAATGATGAGAGAGAATCATCTATTGGCTGCCTCCTGCACACCCCACACTGGGGATCGAACCCACAACCTGGGCATGTGTTCTGACCAGGAATCAAACCAAAACCTCCTGGTTCATAGGTTGACACTCAACCACTGAGCCACACCTGCTAGGCTATTTTCCTCTTTTTTTCTTGAGATCTTTAAGCAAAACAATTTCAGCAACAGATTTGTTGCAGGCATATATGAGAACCCATGTCTCTTAGGATATAAAGAGATTTGCAGCAAAATGAAACAATACCAGGTCTCTTATTCTACTTTGTGTTTTTTATAAAACATGTTATTTATTTCAACCTGTGATGGGATTATTTTTCATGGACTAATAAATATTTTAAGGATTTTTAGTTTTAATTTCTAATAAAATGGAATAGACGACAACATGAAGCAATGGCACCGAATTGCATTCCTTCCATGAAACCCATGGCACACAGCGGAAGCCAGGCTCATCCTGTTTTCACTTGTTCAGACCTTCCTCTCGTCACCACGGAAAGCGGGTGACAGCGCCTCTGTGGTCACTAGTTAACCTCACTCCGTGTTTTTACCATTTAGTTCCACAGGTTCCAACCATCACAAAACAGTCAAAAGAGCAAGTCGCCTTTCCCTTTGATGAATATTTTCAAATCGAATGTGAAGCTAAAGGCAATCCGGAGCCAAGGTGAGTGGCCTCCCACCCGAGGCCTTTAGGTGTGAAATCCCCTTTCCTGCCGCTTCCTGGTTCAAGGCAGCCGTCCCCTCTCTGTAGCCTCCAGTGGGGGGTGGGGGGTGGGGGAGGGAAGAATGCTCTCTTTCATAGGGACACTGACCCCGCTCTCGAGAACCCCACCTCGTGACCTCATCCTCTCCCAGGGCCCCGCCTCTGACCCCATCACGCTGGGGACTGAGCTTCAGTTCAGGGATTTGGAGAGATGTACGCATCAGTCTACAGCCGCTTGTCAGATGTCTTTTCTGATAGTCCATTCAACATACTTTCTACCAGAAATTAAACGTCCTGGTTTTGTCACTTCTGTGCATTGGTGTATAAACACTAGGACCCGGTTCATTTTCCACGTCCTTAAGCTGAGTTTTCGTTACAGATTTACGTGGACGAAAGATGGCAAGCCCTTTGACCTCTCCGACCCTCGGGTCATTGCCTCCAACAACTCAGGAACCTTCCGGATCCCAAATGAGGGGCAGATAGCTCACTTCCAGGGGAAATATCGCTGCTTCGCTTCGAACAAGCTGGGAGTGGCCATGTCGGAAGAAATAGAATTTATAGTTCCCAGTGAGTATTACGGTGGAGATTTCAACTTACAGACGTTTTTGTCAAGTGTGCGGTAGGCGTTGTTCTGGGCTCTAATGAAACAACACATTATTTAACCAGCGCATGTGCGCCTTATAGCTTTTTTATAAGGGGAATTCTCTTCCAGGTCTTGACACGTAGAAGTGGATGGATGACCTTGAAAGCAATGGGAGGTTGCTGCACTTCAGCCAGTAACCTTGTGTCTAATTTGGGGAAACGTAGTATCTATTGCCTCGTAATGAGAACTAAGTTGCACATGATATTAGTTAGGGTCAGCGAGTTATGCTGCAGTAACAAGTCATCCCCAAGCAGGGTGCACACAGGTCCTTCCTAAATCTCGCAGTTCGCTATGGGTGTGGCAGCCGTCTGTCAGAACAGCTGTTCTGTTCCCCACACAGCCTCCTGGGCGACACCCTCATGCCGTGGCTGCAGCACGTGACCCTGGGCCACCAGGTTAGGGTCTGGGGCAGAGAGCATGAAAGTTTGCTTCCAACGAGAAGTCACACAGGTAACTTCTAGAGGTGAGGTGGTTCAGAGCAAATCCTAAAGCCCACCTGACGTCACCGTGGGAGTCCCTCAGAAGGATGCTTAGCAGTCATGCCTGCTGTAAACAGTTGTCATGGAAACTGCAAGCTGCTTACTGTGGAGGGTGTCATTGGTCAGTAACTATCACCAAAACTAAGACTGCATCACTGCCATGCTCATGGGACCTCTGATGACCAACCATCACAACTGGCTCTCTTCCCTGATCTTAAAGGAGGCAAGGTCATGTGATCCTAACCAGAGGCTCACAGAATAGATTCTTATGTAGAACACTGTCACCAGGGGCTGTGTGGCAGTTTCTCCTTACGGCATTCTAAACTTGGAAGAACTCAAAGATCAGCCAAGCGCTCGCAGGATACAGCAGAAGAACAGGCAGGTGCTTCTAAAACACACGTGCACAACACGTGGGCCTTACCCCACAAGTCAGGGTGGGGACCAGATTGAAATGATTGCAGAGGAGAGAACAGCTAGATCAATGTAGACTCTGCACATTACGTGTGCATCTTAATATTTATAGAGTAATTACTCTAAAAGTATAGAAAAAAATGATTATCAAACCATGTGGTGTGAGGAGGAGGAAGAAAAAGAAAGGAGAGAAAATACAAAGTGGGATGAGCAGACATTTTAAACACTAGAAATAAATTCAGGTATATATCACTGATTAAAGATAAAAGCAAATGGACTAAATGCTCCAGTTAATAAAAAGCCATAAGCCATTTACAGCATAACACACCTAAAGCACAAGGATACAGAATCGTTAAACCACAAGGTGGAAATGATGGCCCAGCTAAATGCTATGCCAACGAGAGCAGGCGTGGTTGAATTAACGCCAGGCACCACAGATCTTCTTTTAAAAAGGCTTCCTGGGTTAGTTCTAAGCGTACATGGTGATAAACTATGTGAAGAAAAAAATAGAAGCACATGGAGAAATAGACAAATCTATCATAATAATGAAAAACATTTCGCCTTATCTTTTCATTATTTGGGAACTCAAGCAGAAAAACCATCCACGCCAGGCACGTAGAAGGTTTAAAGACCCCGCCAGGGACCACGGCACAGCTCAGTCGCTAAACTGGAAGAGCACATTTCCTCGATATTTGGTGATTTACTAGCTGGGAAGAAAAGGTGACCCTATGCAATTAAGTTAGAAATCAATAATGAAAAGAAAACTAGAAAAGTCTTATATCTTTGCAAATTAATAGCCATATTTCTAAGTACTTCCTAAGTGAAATGAGAGACGGCCAAGGCCCTGGAATGCGTTCTGAAGTGACCATGGTGGAGATTCTGCACTGGGACACTTGCTGGACGCGGCTAGAGCATCGTGTACGTGGACACATATTTCTCATCCTCACTGGTCTCAGAAGAGAGGGTGGCGGTTGGTGATGCCAGCTTCTTAGGTGTCATCGTGTTGAGATGAAAATGAACGCGCTAGCTCGAGGTGACAGTAAAGTCACAGAAAGGAGAGTGAAGGGGAGAATAATATAGACGCTGAAAGTCAGTCCAACAGAGGCGTGAGAACTTTATAGCTAAAAGGTGTACATGTGTATGAAAACCATTTTCAAAGATTTACACAAATGGGGAAAATACCCGTTTTATGGGTCGAAAGACTAGGAAAGCTGAAATGTTGATTCTCCATGAATTGATCTACAGGACAACTGAACAGAAGTCTCTGTTGGTTGCTTTGGTTTGTCTGTCTGTGGAGTGTGACCTACTGACTCAAGGATGTGAGGGACAGAGGGGCCATTGGGTGGAATCTCTTGACTAAGGACAAGCCGGGGACGTGGCCCCGTGGAAAGACTGTGTCAATAGCCCGCATGGCGGTGTGCAGGCCGTGGAACTGCACGGAGAACCGGGAAACAAACCCACGCAGCTCTGACAGAGGTGCGAAGAGCCAGCCGGCTTCTCTTTCGTTCTGGTCTTGAGACGGGAGGTGTGAAACGCTGACCATCCACGCAGACAGCCTTCCTCTGGAGCCCTCTCTCACCTCACGGAGATGCTTCCTTCCCGGTGGATTGAAGACGGCGCCGTGCGGTGGAGGAGTATTTTAACAATATTCCTGACGTCAGGGTCATAAAGCTCCACACACGGGTAAACACGGGAGTCCCGTCCCAGCCGGGAGAATGAATACCTTGTAGTGTAATCAGACAGAAGTACAGCCCAGCAGGGAAGACTGCTGAGCCTTGGGAATAGGTTGGACACACATACTCTGTGGTCTCATTTATGGGAGTTCAAACGTCCATCAAAATGCGATATTGTGTAGGGGCGTCATTTTGTGTGGCAATCTTGTAGTGCAAAACAAGCGATTGATAAAAATAAAATGCAGGAGAGTAATGATCGCTCCTGGAACGAGGGGGGACAGACAGGTTGTGGCAAGATTATGTCTTTTGTGTAAGGGGCGGTGGCTGAAAGAGTGTTCCTTCTCGTTATCACTTGCGTTTGCTTTACAAAGGGCCCTTTTTATGTACATGAAGTGAATAAGTATGCAGGATGCCGATTTGTTGGAATTGGCCTTACTGAGCTGGTAGGTGAAACTTTGTAGCATAGTCAGGGGCAAAGCAGTGACACATAAACTTGGAAATGACCTCAGGAGTTGGGGTTTGAAGTGACATTCAGTCGCAAGTGTTAATGAATTCTGGATCAGAAATTATCGCCATGGAAATTGTGGTTGAGGATGATAAAACTAGATCGATCCATCATCTATCTATCTATCTATCTATCTATCTATCTATCTATCTATCTATCTTCTGTCTCCCTACCTACCTATCATCCATCTGAAATCAATTTGCTGAAATAAGATGAGAAAGAGAGAGGCAGGGAGGTTATTAAAAATCCCTGTAGAAGACATGGCGTTGGCTGGTCCCTACCCTGAATTCTGATGGTTGCTATGGAAACACAAAGGCAAAAGCAGCAGCTAGACCTGGTGCAGAGAGAGAAACGGCACATTCTCATCTACGATTCTCCATTAGAGGATTTTACAAACATGTTCTCTGGCTCTCGAAGCCGACGGAGCCAAGACCCGAGCAATGGGAGGAGATTCTGACCGGAACCCGCTGGCATTGTCGTTAAGAGCGGCTCTCGGAGTTGAGCTAAGTGGCGGGTAATAGCTTCGTGTTTCTGCTGCTCAGAAAAGAGAAAAATAAATTAGTTTCTGATGCATCGTGTTCAGTCTCTCCTGAAATGACTTCATCACCTGGCCGTGTTCTGTGATCATTTGTATGTTGAAGAGGACCCCGAGCCCGATTCCCAGGGAATTCATACATCAGAGACCAGGTGGAGCGTCCACAGCCTTCATCACTTGAGTCTTTTCTAAAGTGGCAGAGATTGGATTCTCTTTTGATATTAATAGGTCTTTGTGATTTGAGTGTTATCATGTATCTCTCTCATGTTGTAAAGTTTTCATCTGTAACCTCGAAGGCTTTAGCCACCTAAGTTCCAAGGCGAGCACATCAGCCGAAAATCCCATTGTTGTCCCTGCAAACAGAAACCTTTATACACAGTGATTCTGGCCCCCTCCCTGCCGCCTCTGGAGACGTTAATCCCAAATATTCACAGACATCACAGAAGCTCATGCAGGAGAAGAGAGCCCCCCGCCCCGTCTGCCCTCATGATGGGGTGAGCGTTGCGGGGGTGGGGTCGGGGGGGGGGGGGGGACACACCTGAGCAAGACCCACGCATGTGTAGTGATATTTTTGTTGTTGTTATCCTCACCCAAGGATATTTTTCCATTGAAAAATTTTTAGAGTGGAAGGGAGAGGGAAAGACAGAGAGAAACATCAATGTGAGAGAAACACATTGATTGGTTGCCTCCTGCCCGCGCCCCGACCAGGGCCCAGGCCAGGGAGGAGCCTGCAGCTAAGGTACCTGCCCTTGACTGGAATCGAACCTAGAATCGCTTTGGATCCTCAGGCCGACACTCTATCTACTGAGCCAAACCTTCTAGGTCAGTGGTTCTCAACCTTCCTAATGCCTCGACCCTTTAATACAATTCCTCATGTTGTGGTGACCCCCCCAACCATAAAATTATTTTCCTTGCTACTTCATGACTGTAATTTTACTACTGTTAAGAATCGTAATGTAAATATCTGATATGCAGGATGTATTTTCATTGTTACAAATTGAACATAAAGCATAGTGATTAATCACAAAAACAATATGTAATTACATATGGTCTTAGGCGACCCCTGTGAAAGGGTTGCGACCCACAGGTTGAGAACCGCTGTTCTAGGGCATGTCTAGTGATCTTTAAGTGCCACACTGTTTTAATTTATTTATGTGAAGTGGTTTCTTTAAACTCTGACCCACACCAGTGAATTAGGGGTCAGTGCGGTGCCACTTTATGAACCAGGACACAGGAGCACATGAAGGAGCAGGCTCTGGTCACGTGGCGCGTGGGGAAGTCAGGGTGCAGCCCTGGCAGCGGCTCCAGGGTGTGCACCCACGGTCCTATGCTCCCAGGCCGCCTGTGCCCCGTCATGCCAGCAGCATCCTCTCTGTCAGCTGAAGGCGCCACCCGTTTGGTCGAGGGCACCTGGCCGTCGGGGATCAGACTCAGGACCTGACTTGATCCTCGAGTCCCAGGAAGGCCCCTCTGCAGACTCCGTGCCTGGGGGTTGAGTCCCCAGGACATGTCTGTCGGACTGGTTAGTTAGCATGTCTAGTGGCGTTAACCCTCCCTGACGCCGTGTCTTGGCAACTCTTTTTGTTTTCCTAATGCTTTTTTTCATTGATTTTTAGAGAGAAAGGCGGAAGGGAGAGGGAAGGAGGGAGAGAAAGAGAGAGAAACATTGATGTGAGAGCAGAACATTGACCAGCTGCCTCCTGCACGATCCCCACCAAGGATAGAGCCCACGACCCAGGCACCTGCCCCGACAGGGAATCAGGACAGGCCCAACCAGCAGCCACACCGGCCAGGGCATGGCGACCCTACTGTGAGGCAGATGGGCAGGGGGGACTGTACAGCTTAGGTTTCATAGTATCTTTCCCCAAGAAACTTCTAGTCACCCTTCCAAGGATCCCATAGGGATGACGTCGTAGGACCCTAGGGTGCCTGAGAAAAGGAGAAAGGGCTGAAGCCGCGTAGCCCACGAGTGTTAGTATGAGGGCTCGGTTCATCCCTTAGGGCAGCCTACAGGTTCGCGTGTTTCTCAGGCGTCTCCGGCGTTCCAGGCGCAAAGCCGTTCGCTTTCGTCCTGTGAGGTGCGGAGCGTGGATGGTGGGTTGCGGAGCCCTCCCGCACCTCAGAGCCGGGAGGTTTGCTTTGCAGGTTTGCTGTGTTGGTCGGTCGCTCTGATTAGAAGACTGGGGCGCAGCTCACTGGTCTCTGTGAAAGTGCTCCACGCAGATTCTGGCTGGGGTTCAGGACCCTCTGCCCTCGGAGCCATTACCTGAAGTGCATCCGTCAGCGGAAGAATAAATGAGGAAGCCCCTTGGAGAAGAGGAGCGAGCAGGTGCGGGAAGGGCTGGGTGTCCTGCGGACCTTGGCTCTGCGGTCGGGGTTTCCAGGCCTCCGCACAGGGAGCATCCCCGTCAAGGCCGGGCTCTCCGAGGCTGCAGGAAGGAGGCTGCTCTGCACGCTGAGGGACTGCTCCTCTGAAATGAGCCGGCAAGCGAGAGCCCAGAAGAAAAATGAGCGTGTATACATTCACTTCAGACAGCGTTGCACGAGTCCAGACTCAGCCTTGCCGATGTTTGTCGCCAGAGAAACACAATTAGCAAAAGTCACCAGTGAGGGTTACTTTTAGACAGGAGCCATGTCTTCATCGGAATGAAGCCGACTTCCTACCCGCTGATGAGTTATGGTAATTAAGTTTCACTTCCTCTGCGCAGGTGGCAATGTTTGCCTTGCAGCCGGCATCACACTCACGAAACGGCTTCAAAGTTCAACAATAAGACCTAAGAAGTAATCCCAACCAACCAACAAATTAATGTCCTTTGTCATACTGGTTCTCAGACCTTAAATGATTCCACATATAAATATTCTCCCCTGCCTCCGGATAGTAATTTCATCTTTGGTCAAAAGCTGTTCCAGAGACTTCTGCCACGGAATAAAAGGTTGGGTGGACTTACACATTTCATTTTACTTTCTGTCTTATTACTGGTACCTTGGAAGCCAGTTGAATTACACTATTGACATGTTCAGAATTGGCGCTTTATAACCTAGGTTTAATTAATGCAGGGCTCCCCGGCTGTGCTCTCTGCGGGAATCGTTAGGTTTCTGAGTGCTCTGAGGGGGCGATTCTTTAATTAGGGCTTGCTGCATCTTATTCATCCTGCTTTACAGGGGGTGTCCCCTGGGAAGTGAGCATTCTGGTTGGGCCCCTGGCGTCTGCTTGTTACAGTCAGAACTGCATGCTCCTTGCATTTCTGGAACCGGTTTTCCCTCCCTCCGCTGCCCCTCGTGTCTGAGTATAAGCAGATCCCTAACTCCCTGAGGGCCCTGCGACCTTCAGCTCCACGGACGCTGGGCTTTGGCACTGAACACTGAGCGAGGGTGGGGATTTGGAGTCTGGAAGTCACTATGCTGGGCTCAGGAGAGGTGGACTTCCTGCACAGTGTCACACACCTGCTCAGTCAGAGCTGCCGGCCACAGCGAGGTGGCGCCGTTACTCCCTGCAGCTCGGAGCCTGGTGATGACTGAGCCCGCTCCTGCCTCTGACCTTTGACGGGGATGGAACGCTACCCGCTTCCCGGAGCAGAAGCAGGATCCCCGGTGGCTGCCATTCCAGGGGCCTGCCCAGGCCTGCAGGGAGACGTGCTGGAAGGAGGCGACCGGGAGGGAACCCGCCGGGCCCGTCACATGAGGAAGCCCACCTTCCCAAGTGGCCAAGGCCGTGGAGTAACACCCTGCCCCCTGCAAGGCTGAGCTGGGGAAGGTCCTGGGCGCGAGACAGAAGCAGTTCATACAGCTGCTGCGGCGATCAGAGAAATGCCAGCACATTCCCCCCGCCGCGAGGGGAGGGCCGTGGGGGAAATGCAGGGGCTCCTCCAGCGGGAAAGACTACAGTAAGCGAGCGTGTCCCCCGCCTCCGAGAGTGACCGCCATCTTCGTGACCCGCCCCTGAGGAAGGGAGCACAGGGCAGGGGAACCCTAGCACGTCCCACTCCGGAGGGTTAGGAATCCTTCCCGAGGCCCTTCCGCTCCACGAGAGCTGGGCGAGTCCCTAACGCAGGTCCCCGCGCAGGGTTCAAAGGCGCCAGCGAAGGTCCAGCCAAACACGTGCTGAGTGTCCTTAGGGCTGTTGTGTAAATACCTTCACAGGAACACCCAGCATGGGTGCTGGGGTGGAGTCCCGGCAGGGCTGTGGCTGCACGTCCGTGGGCACTGCCTCGCCCTCAGGGAGGTCCCCCCAGGAGGAAGCACATGCCGGACCCTCACAGGGGCCCCTTCCCCACGTCACGCCCCTCATTCCAAGTTCCTTTTACTCAGAGCGGCTCCCAGGAGAAGGCTCTCTGCCCTGTGACGTGGTCACGTTCCGCCTCACATGCAGCTGTGCCCTTTCCCCCACGTGGGCTGGGAATCCCTTCTCCGGCGTGTTCACGCTGTGAACGGAGTACTCGCCAGTCACATGCAAAGGCGTCACCGTAGAGTGAGGGAGCGTGTGTCTGCGGGAGAGAAATCAGTGTTTGCAGAAGGTGCCACGTCTCTCAGAGCTTAACATGCACAGAGCCCGTGGCTGGGCGCTCCCGCTCCGTGCAGACACACACACGGGTGTGCTGTGGCCGGATCCATGTCCCAGCGAAAGCGTCTGGTCAGCAGTTACAACTGCACAGGGAGTTGAAACTTGTGTAAGGACGCACCCAGGTTCCCACCAGCATCTCTCTCTGCAGGGGAGATCGGAGAACCAAGATGGGGGTGCTGAGTTCATTTAAAATGCTCCAATTTTGTGAAAGAAGAATGCATCAAAGTATTACTTGTACTGCTGGAAGTTAACTTTAACAATGTCTTGAAATGACTTTCTTGTACCAGATGTTCCAAAATTCCCCAAAGAAAAGATCGAGCCCCTTGAAGTGGAGGAGGGAGACCCCCTGGTCCTGCCCTGCAACCCGCCCACGGGGCTGCCCCCGCTGCACATCTACTGGATGAACATCGGTGAGTGGGGTCTGTTCAGCCGCATGCATGTCAGGTGACACACTGGAGCCGAAGATAAGAAATAATATCAGGTTATCACTGTGGAGCCAAACACAGTTAGAAACTACCCTCCTAGAGTTTGCTCCAGGTTTTAAATACACACTTCGGGGTGTCCGTGAAAACACTAGACAACCACCAAACAGATCCCGTAAGCTTGGCACACCTGAAGAGCGTGCAGGCCAGTGATAGGACGAGGAGCGTCTGGGAGGGGGTCCTCCCTGTGTCCAACAACCTGCCTACCTTGGACAGCGCCCACTCACTCACCTTGGACATCACCCACTCACTCACCTTGGACAGCACCCATGTCAGGGCCCAGCACAACCAGTATCTACTTGTGAGCATTATATTTCTTTTTTTAAAAAAAAATCTTGCCGAAACCGGTTTGGCTCAGTGGATAGAGCGTCGGCCTGCGGACTGAGGGGTCCCAGGTTCGATTCCAGTCAAGGGCATGTACCTGGGTTGCGGGCACATCCCCAGTAGGGAGTGTGCAGGAGGCAACTGATCGATGTTTCTCTCTCATCGATGTTTCTAACTCTCTATCTCTCTCCCTTTCTCTCTGTAAAAAATCAATAAAATATATTTTTGAAAAAATCTTTATTGATTTTAGAGAAGAAGGGAGAGGGAGAGAGAATCATTGATCGGCTGCCTCCTGCATGTTCCCTACTGGGGATCAAGCCCACAACCAGGACATGTGCCCTGACCTGGAACTGAAATGTGACTTCCTGGTTCCTAGGTCACTGCTCAACTACTGAGCCTCACTGGACAGTGTTATATTTCTGTTTTAGTAATGTTTCACCTGCCACATCCAGTGAAATAATGGAAAAGCCAAGAAACTGAAAAAGGTAAAGAGAGATGAGATTATTTATTTATAATCCTCACCTGAGGTAGGATTTTATTGATTTTAGAGAGAGGAAAGGAGAGGAAGAAGGAGAGAGAGAGAGAGAGAGAGAGAGAGAGAGAGAGAGAGAGAGAAACATCCATGTGAGAGTGAAATATCAGTTGGTTGCCTCCCGCATGTGCCCCAATCAGGGATCAAACTTGCCTGACCTGCAATTGAACCTGCAACCTCTCGGTGCACGGGACGACGCTCCAACCCACTGAGCCACACCGGCCGGGGCAGGACTGTTGCCCCTTTAACGACAGACATTCCTTTCCAGAACTGGAGCACATCCAGCAAGATGAGAGGGTGTACATGAGCCAGGAGGGGGACCTGTACTTTGCGAACGTGGAGGAACACGACAGCCGGAACGACTACTGTTGCTTCGCGGCCTTCCCCAGGCTGAGGACCATTGTGCAGAAAATGCCGATGAAGCTGACAGTCAACAGTTGTAAGTCCAGATAACTTACCCTCCGCCGCCGCGCATGCTGAATGCCAACGTGTCTGTCATTTCATTCCGGCCAATGCCAGCGAGAGCCGGGTTGTTTAGTTCCACTCCAGGGAGGTACCCGACAGGAGACATCTGCCCCTGCAGCTGCCCAGCTCTGTCTCTGCAGCCAGAAACCCAAGCCAGTGGGCGCAGCAGACAGGATATTCCCGGGTTTCCCAGCACCCGTCGGGCTCTGCTTCCCGGGACAAGTCAGTAGGCTGGAAAGATGCAGAGCCCAGCAGTCAAAGATAAAAGAGGAGCAATATTACAAATTTCTAAAAAAAATTTTTATTTTTTTTAATTGATTTCAGAGAGGAAGGGAGAGAGAAATAGAAACATCAATGGTGAGAGAGAATCATTCATTGCTTGCCTCCTGCCTGCCCCCTATGGGGGATCAAGCCCGCAACCCAGGGAGGTGCCCTGACTGGGAATCGAACCTGCAACCTCCTGGTTCAAGGGTTTGAAGCTCAACCACTGAGCCACACCGGCCGGGCACTATTACGATGTTTTTCACATGATTTTTTCTGTCTTTCCAAAATTGACAAGGTTATTTGAATTGCTCCCCTCCCCTATTCGGGTCTGGGTGCCCAAATGGGAAAGCATCATCAGGGGAGAACGGCCTGGAGGGTCCCAGGGAGGACCATCGGCTCTGCTGGCGCCGGGCGGGCATGGCCGTCCGTGGTCTAGTTTGGTTGGTGACTTTCTCCGTCATTACGTGTGGTGCATGATGCCAGGGCTCCGCTCGAGCGTCCTGGCAGCTTCCGCTCTCCTCCATGAGCTGCCACTTGTGTCCTCCCACCTGGACCCACCTGTGACAGTTCAAGGTTAAGCTCCGCGTGAATGGCCCTCCCACTGTCTCCCCAAAGACGGTGCGCTAGCGGAACGTGTCCTGCCTCACGCGGTGCTTTTCCTTGGGAAGGAATGTGACCCCTCGTTCTCTGTTGGCATCCACACCCACCATTGTGTTTGTGAGTTTCCTCTTCCATTTTCTCATTTCAGTAAAGCATGCTAATGACTCGGGTTCACCCACAGAGGCCGGCTCCCGGGGTAAGTCGGTCGTGCGTGGTGTTGGCAGTGATTCTCAGCGTTGTAGCTCGTTGCCATCTCACAGTTTGAGTTTTTCCTCTGATACCTTTGTGAGTTTATTAAAACACTAATATTCATGTTAAAGAAAATTCCTTAACATAGAGGTGTCTATTAACCCCCCCCTTAAATATATTAGGGGTGAGCTAATTAAATGTTAGACCGAATACAGCAGGCTAATTTTTAAGTTGATGCTTTTGTGTGGCCCGCGAATGATGTGATACATCTCCAGAGGCCCTTGGCTCCCCACCCCTGGTTTAAATGAGAGACACAGACACAGAGACACACAGAGTCATTGGATGGGGCGGGCGCGACTCAGGTGTAGACCATAGAATCAGACGTCCGAGAACTGGAGGGCTTCCGTCAGGAAATGAGCTCTCCTCTCCGCCGTGTTTGAATCCTGGACCAGAAGGCCTGGCCAGGACAGGCTTCCTCCTCCGGCCTCACTCCCCTCGCTCCCCGGGGGGTCCCCAGCCTCGTGCAGGAGGGCATCTTAGTGGAAACAGACCCAGATGCGGGGGGGGGGGGGTGTCTGTCTGTCCACCACTCGCTCCCATAGAGGCATCAGGTTACGTCTGTTCTGAGAACAGTTTAGAGCAGTGATGGCGAACCTATGACACGCGTGTCAGGGGTGACACGCAAACTCATTTTTTTTGGTTGAATTTTCTTTGTTAAATGGCATTTAAATATATAAAATAAATATCAAAAATATAAGTCTTTGTTTTATTATGGTTGCAAATACCAAAAAATTTCTCTATGTGACACGGCACCAGAGTTAAGTTAGGGTTTTTCAAAATGCTGACACGCCGAGCTCAGAAGGTTCGCCATCACTGGGCTAGAGCCACAGGACAGTCACTCTCTGAGCCTGAGAAAAACAGGACACTGTTCTTTTCCCTCCAGCGAATTCCATCAAGCAGAGGAAGCCCAGCCTGCTGCTGCCTCCGGCGGCGAGGGGCCCCGAGTCCTCGGTCACCGTCCTCCGGGGGGACACCCTGGTGCTGGAGTGCTTCGCCGAAGGCCTGTGAGTACCTGCCCCATCCGACCGTCCGTCAGCCCCGACCGTCCGTGCGCTGTGTAAGGAATATGATGCCCATTGAGGCGCGCCTGCACACCCCGTTTTCGACTGTTGCCTTTTTAAAAAAAGCATGAGTGAGCACATGTCTGGAGGGAATAATTGTCACTCCACTATCCAGACTTCAGGCTGGCGCTGGGATTGATCTATAAGCCGCTCACTCCGTCAGTGTGGGAGTGAGGACGGGGTGATGGTGACAGAAGCCCCCTTTGCTCAGTCAGCCGCTGCCACCCTGAGGGCCCAGGCTGGAGCCAGCAGCGGTGGAGGCAGGGACAGGTCTTGGTCCCGGGCTGGCCCTGTCCCTCCAGCTCCTCATCAGGTTCCCTGTCAGGTTCCCAGGACCCCATCTGCCTCTCCTGTCCCCTGCTTCCCGCGGCACGAGGGGGGCCCGTCCACATAAGTTAAGACAGTTTCACGTGAGCCTAGAATTCCCTGGACTTTATCTGAAAAAAAAAACACACACGCACAAAACAAAAACACACATTTCCAAATCCCCCAGGAAAGCACGGGGGTCCTTCACTTGGTCATATCTTTTCTCTCTCTTTTGTTTAATTCGATTTGGGGCATGATCTCGGTTAATCGGATCATATAGGTTTCCAGTGTACGTTTCCATGGTACGTGATCTGTATGTGGCATTGGGTGCCCACTGCCCAAAGGCCAATCAGGTTCCACCACTACCCACATTTTGGAATTATTGCGTTTATTGAGTAACCTCCATAAGTCCTTGCGAACAAGGCCCATCTTCTCTAACACATGGTCAGGCAGGTGGCCTTTCTCTGGCCTCTTGTCTATCTGTGCTGCCTGCCTCCCGCCATCCTCCGTGGGAAGCAGGCCCCAGCACCCGGTTCCTTCCTCATCTGCGAGCTGAGGGCGTCCCCCCACCCCCCATCGCTGGGCGGTGGTCAGTGGGGCAGGACATGGAGTTTAGAGGTCGTGGTCGCCCATAGCTCAGTGTACATTCCCAGTGAGTGGTTTTACATTACACTTCAGGGCCTGTTCCGGAAGCTGGTCCCCATTGTGTGAGAAGGTGGGCGCGTCCGGCCGGTGGGAACCATGTGGGAACCACCGCCCCGTGGTTTGGTGCCCATGAGCTTGTGGTGGAAGAAGGCACATTCTTTCAGGATTCGTCACGGTGCCCCTTGGCTCTGTGGGCCCGGCGACCTTTCAGCCACCCTCCCTCCCTGTTTCCCACAAAAGCCACAGTCTTCCTCCTGGGGTGGATGGTGGCACACGGCTGCTTTCAGAACCATGGAAACGCTGCCCCGTGCTGCCGAGAACATGCAGCCCAGGGAGGAATCTGCAGGACAGAAACCTGTCGATCTGGGACCCGGGGCCCGGTGCATGGACTTCCCCTGACACGCACGGCCCTGCCTCCCGGTGCTGGGGTGTGCCCGAGCCCAGCGGGTCCTGCTTCAGATGCAGGGGACATGCTGTGGGATCTTAGAGAGCTGCTCATTGACCTTCCTCGGGAGGTTCAAGCCACGCCCTCTGCGGTCACAGACCAGTCATCCCTGGACGCCCACCTGGTCTCCTGTGTCAGGCGCGGCGTCTCGCACACCACATGGCGGCTGGATTTCTCCACTTCCCGGGGCAGTGGAGGGGGGGAGCCCCGAGACCTGGAGTCCCCTCTCCTGTCTGTCTCCAGAATCTGAGCCACCTCGATGTTTAGCTTATTTCTGCACTTTTCAACCCAAGGAGCTGCTCTGTGCAGTCAAGGGATGGAGCATCTCTGAATCAGAGAACATGTAGGAGAAGTGTCCATGTGTGGAACAGGAAATTCTGCAGGGACACTGGCGCCCAGCCTGACACTGTCACCTTCTCACATAATAAAGAGGTTAAACAATATACAGTGTCCCCAAAAAGTATACACACTTTGAAGAGTTACATACCCCAATGGGTTAGATCTGAAAAGGAAGAAACAGCAATTGAGCTATCAGCTGTTACGTGTGTATACGTTTTGGGGGGCACACCCTGTATTTCCCTTCAGTTCTTCCTCGCTCAAACGCTGTCAGTAAATCTTCCTTCAATTAAATAGAAAAGAGCAAAAAACAATTTGGCGAGGATACAGCTGCCGTGCTGTGGAGGTGTGGCTGCGCCCCTGAGAAAGGAGCTTCACCATCATCGCCTGACGCTCAGGCTCCTTTCCTTCTGTCCCTCCAGGGATGGGGTTTAGAGGATTAGACTAATTCCGAGGACCGGCAGAAAGGGAGGGCTGGCACTACCGAAGTCTGGGCTTGTGAGGGCTCCAGGCTGGGGGGGACTGTGGTCCAAGCAGCCTGTGACTTGGCGCCTCTCCATGTTGACAGATGGGGTGGTACACAGCCATTCGGAGACTCGGGCGAAGCACCTGTTAGGCCGTGAGCTCCAAGGCCCGTGGCGAATGCACTCGTGCGGCCCCTGCAGGCCGTGTGCTCTCAGCCTGGCCCGTGTCGGCGGGGGGCTCAGGCCTGCAGCCAGCCCCTCGGCTGTCTCACCTGAGACATTGTCTGCAGTATCTCAGGGCTCCCCTCGGCCGGCCGCTGGGTCCTCCTTTATCTCGTGTTCAAACTCATACAGGGAAGGGGCTGGTATTTCTGGCCACTTCCAGTCGCCACAGGGAGATTTCACACCCGACACCTCTCTTGCCCTATGTCTAGGCGTCCAGTTGTCCATCCTTCCCCTAGCCACCCCCACGGCCCAGCCCGTCCCTGCAGTGGGCCCCGTTCACAGGAGGGAGGGTGTGAGGAGGAGACTGTGGGAGGAGGTGCTGAGGGCGGCGGCCTGAGCCAGCCCCCACGTTCACCCTGGTCGTGTGGGCGGGTCTAGGCCCCGGGAATGCGAACGGACATCCCTCGGTGGGACTCTGAGAACACGCAGGAAAGCCACGCGATGAGGGGTGTGTCCCGTGAGGTTCTTTACCTCTCGTTTTGCCCATTTAGAGACATGTATCGCTTCCTGATTGTTTTTCAGGCCAACACCACAGGTCGATTGGGAAAAAGTGGGTGGTGATTTACCAAAAGGAAGAGAAACGAAGGAGAATTACGGCAAGATGTTGAAGATAGAGAACGTCTCCTACGAGGACAAAGGGAATTACCGCTGCACAGCCAACAACTTCCTGGGCGTGGCCACGCACGATTTCCACGTCACGGTAGAAGGTACGTTCGCCACCCCACGCGATTCACTTCTCTTCTGTTTAGCGGGAATGTGGCGCACCTACCCCTGTGCAGCAGGTGTGTCTCGGCAGTAGCTGACCCCCGGTGGGCTGCGGAGCGGGCTCTGGTGCCACATCACTCACTGGTCTGTCACTCACCACGCAAACCACAGGGAGGGGACGGTGACAGAGGATGTCACAGCAGGGGTTCAGTCAGAGGCCTCCGGGCCTCTCTCACTTAGTCCTTCAATCCGGCCTCCTGGCCTCGAACTGTAAGAAAAAACCCCCGTTTATATTAATATACGTGTGACGCTGCCCAAGGTCGGATCTCAGAGCAGCGAGCTCTGCGATGGAAGAAGGTCAGGAGGACTCCAGGAGAGCTCGGCCGAGTTTCCCGCCCCGTCATTAACTCGCCGTGTCCGCCACGAGTTCCCTCCACTTTCTGAACCTGCTTTTCCCCCGTTGAGATGAGCGAGGCAGACACACTGCTGTCCCAGCTCTTTCCCGGGCACGTTTTTTCTGTCCGTGCCCGGAGGATATTCTCTATGTTAGTGATGGGGAAAGAATAACAGACTCTGAGGCGGAAAGATGAATTCTCTACCCAAAGGTGCAAACACACCTTGGTTATACTTAGGTTCTCTCTCTGGAAACCCAAGCCTTTTGGTCAGCAGCGGGGTGGCTGTTGTGTGTGGTGGGATAGAAGTCATTGGGCAGTGAGGCCATCATTTAGAAAGGGCGCCCCGAATGTAGACACTGGGGCCGTGCCTGCTGGGGGAGGGGAGGCTCCCCGTCACCTGGGAATTGATTGACGCAGGCTTTCTCCCTGGGCGGGACCACACTGAGGTCACCTGTACGTGGGCGGTAGATTGTGCTGACCGAGCCCGGGGGATGATTCCCGGGTTTTCACTGTGTCGCACTGTGTGGGCCTTATGATGAGGGGAACTGTCCCCTTCAGGGCTGCATTCAGGGGTTGGCTTTCTAGGGCTTCCATTTATGTTCCAATAAGTTTACCTTTCAAGGTTCAGTTTGCTCAAGGAGCCCCTAGGTCCAGGCCGCCCCCCAACCCCCGTTCCAGTTACTGCGAAGAAGGAAGAAGGAGACACAAGTTTGCCCTACACACAGGTGTTAGCCCCACGGCTTAGCCAGGCGGCTGTTTGTGGGGAACCCATGTTCCCCAGGCCTCTCCCACAGGGTGACTGGCTGGGTGAGGAGGACCTGGACCCAGGGCTGGGAACATAACGTTCTTGTTCCTGCAGAACCAGACAGGAGAAGCCATTGCTGTGCACACACCAGGACACAGGCTGCAGCCTGGGACTTGGATCATCCAGAGAGGAGGCGTTTGAGAGGTGTCTGTTACCTGTGATCGTAGTCCTCCTGGGTGTTTCTTTATGGCTTGGCTGTGCCGGGCAGCAGGGCTATTTTCCGGGACCCCCGCCTCGGCCCCCGCACCAGCACCGGGACCCTGCCTGGCCCATAGCTGCTGCTGGACCCGGAGCTGCTGACTCCTGCAAACCCCTCCAGATGGCGGGCTTGGCTGCAGGAGCTGCACATCTTAGCAATCTGGCTGCGGTTTCCCGACTGGAAGGCAAGCTTTCAAAAGAATTGCAAGGGTTGCAAAAAAAAAATAGAAAGGGAAGTCAAGGATGTAGAATAAATTATCCCCTTCGCCCTGTGGCCTGGAGGACTGCAAAGGAATACAGGTTTCCTGCACAGACTGTCCCCCCATTCATAAACCAGCCAGGAGCACTATTGAGATGCAAATCATGTTTTTATTGGGGACACTTAATCCTCTCCCCTTAATGAGACACCACACACTGCCTCTGCTGTGTTTCTGCAGTTGCCCTTCACGAATTCACGGACCAGGGAGAAGGCAGGGACCTCCAGGAGCCCTTCCCCTGTTTCAGTGTGGAAGCCGCATAAATACAACCCTCACTGGGCTCATGGGCGGGCCCGCAAGCTTCGCTTTCATTCAACTTTCCTCTGCCTTCGCCTGCCTCCTGCTCTCCCTGCTTTTGTCTTTGGCGTAGAAACTCAAATTAACCACATGGGCCACATGGGGAGGGGAGGACAGCCGTGAACTTTGAAATTCGAGTCCATCTGAAAGCCCCCTTGTGCCTCAGTGAAAGCAGGCCTTGTGTGGGGTTCCCCCCACCCCCCATGTGAGAGTCCTTTACTCCCGGACACAAGCACACTCTGTGACTGAACCACAACAGTCTGAAGAGGGGGGCGAGCTGCATGTTCACGCCCTGTGATCAGCAGAAGCGAAAGCAGCCGGGAAGCTGACTCGGCAAAATGATTCCTTCCAGGTTCCACCATGAAAATATTGCACATGTAGTAAAGGAGACGTATCACGTACGCAAGGGAACACATGTAGACGTATGAGTATATACACACATATTGTTACATTCTCTATTATATATATCCTGTTCATTATGTCAATGTAAGAAGCATCCAAACCTGTAGAGAATTTTTATGAGTTTATTTGAGCCAAACTGATGAGTGGCCGGGAAGGGAAGTCTCAGCGGAGGGAGCAAGTGCTCCCAAGAAGGGAGTTTTGCAGCTTATTCTATCCACGACCGTCGTTCTATTCCATTATTAGA